TTGAAAATATGTAATTGTTATACAAATACAAGATATATTATCAAGGTTTGAAAGCATGAAAAGGAGTCTCATTAGCAGGAAATCCACCAAAGAAATACTGCTATCCAGAGTGTTCCTGGCTTTGATCCCAGCCATAGTATAACCACTGTTAGCCAGTGGTTAGTAGATGCTCTCTTGAAGGTAAATTTTGGGTGAAGTAATTTTCAAGCTCAAATACAATGAGCAAACATCAGTCGAAACTTCCTTATACGAAAGTGCTTAAGGGCGTTGCTCATTTATTTGAGCCTCCTCACAATAGATTTTTGTTGTCATCACTACAAATGTGGGATAAGAGGCTTAGCTAGGATAAATAACTTGCTCAAGGTCACAATCTTGTGAGTTGCAAAGCCAGGAACGAAACCCAAGCAGAATTGGACTCTTATGCATTACTGGGTGATCTGTTGCACAGAAGAAATAAATTATTAAACATTTGGAAATTTGATAATAACTTCTCCCATGTCTTTTACTTTTACTACCATCCACCTAGCCTATAACAACTCTTCCAATAAACTGCATAACATATTTTTAAAATGCTAATTAATATATAGTTATCATTTAAAGTTTATGAGTTAATTTGGCAGACTTAAACACACCCAGAAGTCCTAGAAAATGAGAATTAAGATTCTCTGGTGTGGATAAAAGAGATAAACTAGCAGATAATATATTCCTTTATCCCCTCTTTATTATATAGTGTTTTGAATAGCTATATGTGATTTTGTAGTTTTTTTCAAGTATGCCCTCAAACTCAGTAATTCACAACTTCTTCACTTCTCTATTATTCCACTTTGAACTTAGAAAATTTGATAACTCCCACTGTTTACTGAATCCAAATGTGTCTACTATAATTTTAAAGGGAATAATTCTGCACCATTATCTCCATAGAGTGTTCCCTACTCTAGGAGTTGGGCGGTGGGGGGAGTGTTAAAGAGAACAAAGTGTACTTTCTAATTCTGATTATCGCACTAATTATTAACATGAATGTGTAATTAATGCATAAGGTCAAGAGGAGAGTCTCTACCTCATCTTTGGCAGGTATAAGATATATAGAAGAGTATAAAGGTAGGAGAATCTCCTAGAGGTCATAGGTGTCCCTACTGGAGGTGTGCAAGTCCAACTTTAAGAAATACTGGTAGAAAGTTAAAAGGGGAATTCAGAAAGAATATGATGAAACAACATGGAATAGCGGAAATACGGGAGAATTAAAGTCCCATCTGTGTAATGTATAAACTACGTTACCTTGGGAAGTTTAATAAAAATTGCTATTCTTACCTAATCCCATAGGGATATTTTAAGAATTAAATGAGTTTATGCAGAATTCTTACATATGCTAGAACACAGTAGGCACCAAATATGTGAAAGCTTTCATATCCACTCTTAGATTACTAATTTGGGGACAATTATATTTACTGTTAAGGGTTATCATGAGAATTACATGAGTTTCTATGAAGATGAAGTTCGCCACTCTGTACCAGTCAAACTCTGGATGAATCTCTTTGTTCTTGGTTAAACCTTTGTTGAAACATTAATTCATTTTTAAAACTCGGTTGCAGAATTTACACATTTTCACATGGTATTCTACCTATCCACTCCAGTGAATTTTCTATTCTGTTTGCAATAAACAAGTTTCATTTTTATAATGTGACCTAAATACTAATAAATGTTATTTTGAGGGGGGGAAAAAAAAAACCTAGTTCTAGGAAAATTTGGCCACAAGGGGGAGGTAGAAGAACTTGCTCGGGAGATCCAGCAGTGTTTTTCTTTGTTTAATTTCTCCTCATTTTCCCCCTCACTTCCTCAGCTCTGTTTGGCACCTTGTACCTGTCTTTCAGGCTTCCTGATTCTAGAAATACCCTTATAGGCTCTATACTTGGAAAGTTTATCGAAGTCCACCACCTTTTGATATCAGAGTGATATCCGCAGGATGAGGTAAGTGGTGCCTTGCTGACAATGCTGCCTTCAATTCCAAGTCTGTCCTTATGGATTGTAAAGCAATAACTGCTCACTGCAGCACTGTCCTAGTGTAGTTAATCACCGAGAAGGAATTATCTGTGGACATGGTAAGATGGCTGTATAAGGGCTGGAACAACACCTATATGGGAAGAGGTCCTTTTCAGGTCCTGCTCTCTCAGGGAAGCACTCATTTAGATTGCCTGATTTTAGTTTATAGGATTTCTCTGGAATCTACCTGTTTTGTTACTACTAGGGGCTCTTTAAGAAAACGCTTTGTCTACACTTGATTATAATTCAAGCTTTAGGCTACACAGATTTGATCAATTGTTTTTGAGGTTACTTATTTAATAAGTATGTATTGTAGGCCATGTATATCATACATTCTTCTAGGCACTGGTTATGGACTCAAATAAGGCAAAGGCTCTGTTCCTGAGGAACCTGTAGTGTAATAGGCTATTTTCTTCTGCTAATATTTGAACTGTATGGATATCTTTATATTCTAAAAGCTTTTGGTTCTCAATTCCTGCAGAGTTAAGTCCAAATCTCACAAAATATAAGGCTCTATGGATTAGGGTCCTTGTAGGAAGATGGTACACTGAAAAGAAACTGTTTACAAAGGTGTGGGGGGGGAAGGGGAAGGAGAAATTCACACTTGGTGGTTAAGCCTTAGCCTCTGTCCCTGAATTGGGAGAGACATGCACCTGTAGGAGATGGTCACTTTGGTAGTTAAATGGCTGGGATTCAGCCTGGAAAGTAGGGAGCCAAGAAGACAAATGTCTCAATTGATCAATCACTCCTGCTGCCTTATAATCTCCTTCTGCTGCATCCACTGGCAGAACCTAATAGGAAGTCAGGTGGTAAGAGAACATGGTATATATATGGTCCCCAAAATTTGGCCTCCTGGAACCCAGAGCAGGGTTGATTAAGGTGGAGTGTGCATCGGGAAGGGGTCAAACAGAATATCCAGCACAAAGGCCACTGCCAATTTACTCTATATTAACTTGCCATGTATTCTGGTTCTATCCTTCTATTTCCATTCCTATTTGCTACTATTCCAATTTTTATAAATGTAGATAACTCTGGAGCTAAAATTCTCTTTAACAGCAACATTAAATCAATAAATACTTTTAGAATGCATACTACATGCCAGACATATTTCTAGCAGCTGAAAATGATCTCTGTTCTTCCGGAGCTTTCCTTTGAGTGAGTGATGTCATTACAAAGAGGGTATAGTACAGTGTATGATAAGAGAAAGACACATCAGGGTAACTAATGTGTTATTAGGGGAATTCAGAAGGGTTTTCCAAACATAATAATGACTAGGCTTATTTGTGAAAGATGACACAAGAAGAAAGAGAATGGAAAATAATGTTCCACACAGAAATGAAAGTTTGACCAAGGACCTGGAAATAAGAGAGAACACAAGCCTTTTGTGGAACTGCAGGCAGTTCGTACTGCAGTGTGGAGCTGGAGGTGAAAGATGAGGTAGAGAAGTGAGCAGAGGCAGAGCACAAAGGCCTTGGAAGCCATGTTTGGGAACTGGACTCTTGGGTAATTGGGAGGCACTGAATATGCTCTGTTTTCTGCAAAAATCCTTGTCACAAAATGTTTGAGAGTTTTTCCTAAGAAAGGAGGCTGTTGGAGGGAAAACCAGAATTTCTCCAATATGTCCTGGTTCTGAAGCCCTTTGATCTGTGGTTGCTCCCTGTGTGGTTCCACTAACAGTCCACCAAGACTAAAACAACTAGGATTAAAAACTGTCCAAATGTTGTCTTGGTGCTTTTTGCCATTACCAGTGGGTCACCTCTAATTCAGCATTACTGAACTTTAATCCCTATGACAATAAAGACCTCCTCAGTGTTTGTCACTGCCTAGGCCGGTGAGTATCAGAGCATCAGCTTGTGGAGGTAAAGCCTCTATTCTCTGTAACCCCTGGCCCCCCTACTCCCCTTCCCTTGCCCCAGAGCTGGAAATCAGACTGTCTACATTTAAGCTTAGGCTCTGACTTAAAATAGTTTTGTGACATTCTTTCCAATTTTTCTGAAGCTCACTTTCTCATCTGTGAAATCTTGAGAATTCTAACTTTTGTATTGAAAATTCACTACAGGTTCTTTAAGGATGAAGTGAGACAAATTTTTTTTACAGGGAGCTGCTGCCTGAGGTTCCCATGGTCTGGCTGTAGGGGAGGTGCTTCTGGTCCTTAGTACAAGGTACCATAGAAAGAAGCCTTCTGGGCTGAGGTCCATGGTGTTGGAAGGAGGTGGTAGGGAGGCAAGTAGGACAAGTTAAGGCACTGATTAAGTGGTGGGGCAAAGCCCTGGGGATGGGCATTGGAGCAAATCTAGTTGTTATGGTTCACGATAATCCTACCTCCTTGACAAACATTGTGACTCTGTTTTTAAATATTTTAGTAGGCAAGACTATCCTTGGGGAGGTAGGAAGCCGGCATAGTCTCCGTGGTTTCCAGGCTATAGGAGGATAGCACCTACATGGTTTGTGTCCCTGATGAATATTGAATGGATATCTTGAAGTCCATGCTTCTGTTTCTGCAGAAGGAAGCTGAGTAGCATCATGCCCTTTCCCGAGACTCTCAGAAATGAGCACAGATGTGCCAGTGGAATGCTTGCTTCCCTCTTTGGTGCCTAAACTCAGAGGGCAGACAGCTAGGTTCAGTGCCAGGATTCCACCCTGGAACAGCAAACAACTTAGCATCCGGACTGCTCTTGAATATGCTACACCTGATCCCAATGACAGTCCAGGATGCCAGCATCTCAGGAGAATATCTGATTACTTTTCCCAGTTGGAAGCAAAAGGATTAGTATAATTAATTCAGGGCTGCGTTTGAGGCTGGGGGAGGTTACCACCAAAGCAGATAAATGGGTATGCAAAGAGTGAGAGAACTGGTGCCCTCAGTGGATCGGAAGCCATGGAGACATAGGCAAGTCAAGCAAGCACACAGGAAAGAGGTCTGGGTGAAAGTCAGACCTAAATGCTGTTTCCCTCCCACATACCTTTTATAAGGTCTCTGGAAATTGATGGTCAGGCAAGCTGCTTCTTCTCACACGAGTAGTGACAGGATCAATGCTCGAATCTTGGTCCTGCATAGGTGAGCAAGTAATTTAACTTAACACTCATTTTCCTGACCTGTAAATATAATAATATTTCTAACTCAGCTATCTCAAAAGGTATTATGAACTTCAAATGATATTTATCTGATATTCATTTTTATCAAATATATAATAAAATCTCTCTCTACATATAGCACTATATGTGGAATCTCTCTATGCATCAAATATATGCTTGCTAATTTTAATTTTAAAAGATGATTTACTAATTGAAAAGTGCTGGAAAATTATAAAGCTTGTGTGGGTCATTTTTTCCCATTTGAAAAAAGCATTGCTATTTAATCAAAATGTTTATTTATAATAATTTCAGATAAGGTAGCCTAAATTTTTACTCTTCATTTTGTGGTTATATTATTGCACATATTTGGTCTCCTAGTAATTTTTCTTGTAAGTGTTCAATTTTCCTTCACCATGTTGAAATCCCAATAGCAGGGGAAATGAGACAGTAAAGCTCAGGTCCACGTGAATCACAGCAAATGTCTTGAATTCTGGTGGTATAGTAGAATATAGTTTTCATTTCTGATTAATTCCAGTAGTCTTGCTTCATCTGCCAGTGCATAAACTTGAAATTGAACTCTACAGATATTACAGAGGCATGTTTTGCCCATTCATTCTTTCATTTATTAATTCCATAGATATCTACTGACTTAACCCCTTATGAGCTAGGCATTAGCTGGTTGCTGGTGATACAAATTAAAATCAGGCATAGTTTCCACTAGAGTCTATGTTCTAGTGGAGGAGATACCCACAGGGAAGAAGAAAGTTGTGATGTAGAATGATATCAGAAATGGAAGCTCGGGGCAATTTGGGAGCATGTTTTCTCACTCTCATAAATATATTTTTTTGACAGCAGAACCCAAACAATTTGATTGCATTTTAAAATTCTTTAAGAACTCCATAATCTGCTTGACAGAGAAAGAAATGCCTTGTATGTACAAATTAGTGTGTATACTGAAATATAGATTCCTTAGCATCAGAAGTCAAGACAAAGTTGATAATTTGTTTCAGACATTCTACTACCACCATAATTTTCTTGAACCATAATTTTGAGCTTTGTTTGTTTATTCTTATTTCTGTGAAACTTCTTTCATCTCCCCCTGCCCCCCAGTAATGTCTGTGGGGTTCCCATATTTTGAGTCATTTAGAAATAATAATCACAATTTATTTTTTCAGGATGCTTTCATAGAAGACAAAATTGTATCAACCACTGGAACAAAACAGCGTCCTAGGTATTCTTTGTAATGTGCCTTATAATCACTAATTGCATATCAAATAACTTTTTCATATGTATCATTAACTCAGCAATACTTTAGACATTTATTAATTTTTCCTGTTTCATTTATTCATTCATCAAAATTTATTGGCACAGCCATTGTGTGTGAGACCTCTGCTGGGAGATTTTATAAATATATTTTATACATATATTATATATATATATATATATATAAAACTGTATATACATGTATACACTGTTGACCCTTGAACAATGCAGGGATTAGGGGCACTGCACAGTTGAAAATCCAAGTATAACTTTACAGTTGGTCCTCAGTATATGACCTTCTGTGTCTGTGGATTCAACCAACTGTGGATCCTGTAGTACTGTAGTACATATTCTTTGAAAAAAATCTGTGTATAAGTGGACCCATGCATTTCAAACTCTTGTTGTTCAAGAGTCAACTGTATACACATGCCTTCAAGTACCTGCCTTCAAATAATAGTCTAGTGGCTTAAACAGACAAGATCACAGGAGAGGAAATTTTACCTTTGCTAAGTGCTAAATGAATTAGATGGTTCATTTAAAAAAAAAAATAAGGCAGTGAGAGAAGATTCAGAATTCCAGAGATATACATTAATCAAATGAACTTGTCAAAAGCTACACCTAATATAGCATAATCAGATATTACATATGAGCAGTAAAGACTTCCTTTTGCTTTAAGAAAGGAGGGGTTAAAAAAAAGATTTGTCTACAGGCAAGTTAATTTACAAATTTTCTTAGTTGAGGCACTGACAGTCAGGCTCCCACTAGTCTCTAATAGAAATACTATGAAGTAAAAGGCATTCAAAAACTTTTTTGGATACAGAACTGTACAATATCTCACATTTTTTGTTTTTTTCCTTATTGTTAATTACATAAATTATTTCTTGAAATGGAATTGCCCAAACCCGGGGGTACCATGTTCTTCTAGTTACAATTTTGTGGTGTAGCTTTGTAGTTGAAAAAGGAGTTATGTGGCAAATGGCCAAAAGGTCACCAGGGCCTGTGCATTCAATTGCTCAAGGGTCCCTTGGCACACTGGCTTAAAGAGGAAAATAGGCTTATACTGAAAATAAAAGAAACTGATAGAAATACCATGTCCCTAGTGTTCCAAAACAGGTGCTTTTTTAACTCCACAATATGTGGAAGTCCTCAGAGCCATGTCAATGCTGAGCGCCTTCATTTTCTTAAGACTCCTATATACATCTAGACATTATACAAGTAAAACATGACCAAAAAAACAAAACTAAACAAAACCTCTATGAATTTGTGATATTGTGATTTATAAGAAACATATATTGGTCATTCAGATGACCAAAATATATTTCTCACTGTTTCTAAATTCCTTGAAATTTGCTGTGATAAGAGCAATAAAGATGTCTTTTGTTATGTTAATAAGGTGACTTCTGGAAAGCCCTTAGGTACCCTAGGGATGGGGGGATCTGACTGCTAGAAGAACCAACCAGTGATTAGAGGGTTGGAACGTTTGGTCATTTCTGGGGAGGGAAGAGAGACTGGAGATTGAGTTCAATTGCCAATGGCCAGTGGTTTAATGGATAATGCCTATGTAATGAGCCCTCCATAGAACCCCCAAAGGACAGGGTTTGGAGAGTTTCTGGGTTGGTGAACACTTGGAGATTTGGAGATAGTGGCATGCTCAGAGAGAACTTGGAAGCTCCATGCCCTTTACCCATCCCTTGCTTGATACATCTCTTTCATCTCACTGTGTCTGAGTTATATCCTTTTATAATAAACAAGCAATCTAGTGAGTAAATGGGTTTCCTGAGCTCTGTGAGCCACTCTAGCAAATTAATTGAACCCAAGGAGGGAGTCTTGGGACCCTCTGATTTATAGCCAGTTGGTCAGAAGTATAGGTAACATCCTGGATTTAGAACTGACATCGGAAGCAGGGGAGGGAGAGCAGTCTTGTAGGACTGAACCCTTAACCTGTGGAATCTGACACTATCTTTGGGTAGATAGTGTCAGAATTGAGTTGAATTGTAGGACACTCAGTTGATGTCAGAGAATTTGCTTGACTGGGTGGGAGTGGGGTGGAAGAGGAGTGGTTAACCTCATCCTCATGAATTAAAATTTGCATCTGGACACTTTTAGAGTCCAAATCACTTATAAACTTTTAAAGCATATACATAAGTTATTCTGTCACTTTTGTGCCTTCTCTCATTAGCCTTCTTCAGAGTTAAGTCTTCCTGTAATAACATTGTCCCTGCCCTGGTATAGCTTACCTCTAGGGTAATACCCACGCCCTGTGTTGATTGCTGCTATCATAGCACTAATTGTTGGAGTGGTTCTGCAGATGCATGAGAAAGAAACATAATTACTTAGGTTTATGTTAGAAAGTGTTAAATTATTTCTATCTGTAGGGTTTATGTGTTTTACTTATTTAATGTCTAGAGGTCTTTAAGATGCTTAAGATAAGAAGAGAAGGAACAACAGGAATAGTTGCAGACTGTGTTGATGACACTGAGTATTCTGGGACAACTCTTGGCTCATAGAAAAATCAGAAATCATAAATAATCTTATATTCACCGAGGAAATTTCTACATATAATTTAAAACTCATTTTTACTAGAAAACTCATCAAATTGTGGAAAATGTCTTTACAATAATAATTACTACACTAACAAGTTCTTTTCAATTACTTAGTTTTCAAACCAGTAAAACAGCCAAATCATTATGGTATATTCTTTCAAGCAGTTGCAAAAGTAAATAGGTTTACCTCAGTCTCTTATCAAAGTGTTCTTATGTTTAGAATATATTAAAAAGTGTTGGTTGGTGAGATCTCTAAGGGAACTATGTGGTTTCCCCTTTTTGACTCAAATGGATTTGGCCATATCTGCAGCACAGCACTTTTCTAAAAGTACTTCTAAATATGAGAGATTTTTTTCCAAGAAGGTTTGAAACTGATCTTGAAGGCAGTATCAGACAATTTTTCATTTGTTTGTTTGATCGGGATTTTTTGTTTGTTTGTTTTGCTCCTAGTCAAGACATTTCTTTTTAGCTCCAAAATTTCTGATGATTTTTCCTTCAAAATTTGCATGCTTGGCTTTTAAATGTTGCTGAAAAAGTGTTTCCTGCAGTAATTGTTCAGTTTCTTTTTTTCACATAACAGATCCTGGAATTTAGTCTAATTTGCATCTCCCCAGTAATAAAGCCTATACTTTAAATAAATATCTCAGTATATCCTGTGTTTTTTTATGTTGATGACTGTTGCTTAGTACCGAGTCACTAATCCTGGCTGAGAAGTAATATCATCTTTGCTTTCAAGTTTTTGTTTTGTTTTTGGGTTTTTTGTTTTTTTGTGGGAAGCCTCAGGGACTAGACAAAAATGGCAAGTTTTCTAATCTGTTGCTACAAATAAAATGTCCTACTTTCCAAACTTTCATGATGAAAATATAAGCTTGGCTGTCTGAGAAGAGCAAGGTTCTGCTGACTTGTATGCACAGGTGTGTGGTGAAACTTCTTAGGAATACAGAACACAAAACTTATTTTATCCCAAATTCTAAGTAAAATGTTTACTTCTTGAAAACATACCATGCTACACAGATGGAGAAAGCAAATTTATGTTTACCAGGGAATAAGCGGGGGAGGGATAAATTGGGAGATTGGGATTGACAATATACACTACAATATATATAATAGATAACAAATAAGAACCTACTGTATAGCACAGGGAACTCTACTCAATACTCTGTAATGGC